TGTGGTGGGGATGCAGAGAGGAGCAGAAAGATAGCTCAGGTGTGTGAACAGGTGCTGAGGGTAGGGACTAGGTGAAAAAGAGGATGAGAAGGAGGATCAGAAACCATCATAGGAGAGGTTGGGAATCAGGCATAGGAGCTAGAGTGGAGCAGATAGGAGGAGAGATTGGGATTTGTTTTTGACTACTTGACTCACTCCCCTCTAGAACCTGAAGCTGAACCCAGGACTCGTAAATGTCTATATTCCTCCACTGTCAGCAACAGCACGAGAAACAGACTGACCAAATGGATGACTTGTCAACCTTCTAGTGTTTGGTCCACACAAGACTTAAAAACCTGCTAGTGCAATCTGTTACTTAATTGTGTACGTGGTGAGAATCACATATTTACCCCTTCCTGATGAATCAAATGTGTGGTACTGAGGTTCCATGAAAGAGTTTAAGGGGGAAGTTCAGTCAATTCCAAGAGAATGACATTAAAAGAATGCTAAGATTGCAGAGTCTAATGTTCAAATGTGCTCCAAGTCTAATGCTCAAAATATTGCTCTTGCAGGCTCCCGTTCACATTAAAACACAATCCTTAACTGCAGTCACTATTTTTTTCCCATGGGACTACTGCTCAACTCAACTTTAATCCTAGCATTTCCTAATAGTTGGGTGCATAATTTTACAACCCAGATGTTCTTTGTATGTCATTTTTTATGCAGATTAAGTATTTCAAAAGGACAATTATAAGTGCATGAAATGTATGTAAACCATATTTGCTTTTTAAAAAAAAGGTAGTTTTTACAGGACAAACTGATTAGAGAGGTGTGATGCTTACTTTGTAGTTCAGATTGCAGAAAATATTCTTTTAAGCCTTTTCTAAATTCAAAGAAATTCCTTTAGAGTCAAGACTACATCTGATAATTATCTGGCATCAAATAAAATTCTGATCCCAGATTTTGCTTCCTAAAATGGCTGTTTAGGACTGATCCAGTCTTCACTGACATCCATGGAAGAACTCCATTTAAGTTTTTTTTATAGTGAGAGCTGGATCAGACTCTGACAGCAAGTAGTAATACACTGAGCCAAATGGGTCAATTTTTTCTTTTGGTAAGCCTGCTCCACTTCCATAACATCATCTGCCTACCTTAGCAGAAAAGAATCTGTGAACTGTTGATACATGATGAATCATGACTACAACATATGAAGTTCATTACACTTAAAGCTGACTTATACGGGGTTCTTGTCTAACTTACCTTGTGTGATACAGGTGAGAGCAGAAGAGGGTATACTGAAGATCTGAGCAAAAGTTATTTGAGGAATCATTTTAATGCCGTGCTAAAGAGAGAAAATGTCATAGCACAGTTTCAAAATAGGACCCACTCTTTGTAATCTGGCAGGAAGTCATCCAGGCCATCATTCTTTAAAAAAAGGGCCTAATTAAAAAAAAAATGATATAACATATTAAAATAGATAACTAACTTTATGCTTGTCCCCAAAATCCTACTAACACCTTTCCTGTGCCTGATCTCACTCCTGTTGATGTACAGGCAGTCCTTGCACGTATGGTGGGTTATGTTCCTGGAAAAGGCGTTGTAAGTCAAAACGATGCAAATCCAGACTGATTTTTGCATAGAAACAATGTTATAATAGGGGGTTACATTCCTGACTAAGGGCCTGATGCCCAACTTTTTATAGAAATGACCATAAACACCATATTTAAATCAACTATTTAATCAACTATAAGTGATATACACTGTACAGTACAAAGCTTTCTAAAGTGTACTGTATATAAATCAATTAAACAGGGCAATACAGTAACTAATCACATAAGATTTTAGTTAATCAGAAGGTGAAGGAACACCTTCATTAGGGTCATGGAATTCAGGGCTTCTTTGGGGAGATTTTGGGAAGTCCTAGGGCCACTTGATGGCTTTTTAAGAAATTGATCCAGGAATGTTTGTTTTGCTGCCCTTTTTTTCCCCCGTTGTAAATTTCCCTGGAGTGTCTTAAGTGCGAGGATCCAGCACCGTAAGTAACAACATGGGTGTAAATGGCAGAGCACCGCAAGTGCAAATTGCCATAAGTCGAAACGCCGTAAGTCGAGGACTGCCTGTACTTGATGACATTATTGCAGTATTCACTGGGAGACAGATTTTGGGCCCAAAACAGGAAATGAGGAGCTTATTCCTTTTTGTCTCACTGAGAAACCCTGAGAAAGAATCACTTAGTCCCAAATGCAGTGACTTTGTTTGAACTGCTATTATTCTTGGAAAACTTTCCCCAGGATTTGTCAGGTATGTGATGACACAGCATTCCCAGTTCAGTTTTACCCCATCCCACAGCTGTCCTGACATCATGACTTTAAACAACTGTGACATGTTCTTGGGAACTTAAGTGCCTACAATATCTCACCCCAGAAGTAACTGCAATTGTGAATAAACTGTAATATAATTTTGAAACCTTTCAAATGAAAACTGTTGCTTATGTCTGCTCTGTTTTTTCAAGGGCAATACTTGCAAAATGAAAATGCATCCTAAACAGTTTAATTTGCATTAAGCCCATCATTGCTCAGTAACAAAACCTTTCTTTCCATCCACTTTAAATACTGCTTTCCATCCTTTCTTTTCATCTGCTTTAAATACACTACCAATGAATTGTTGAAACAGTAATTAAGTAATTATATTCTAAACTAAACACTCTATACTTTGGACTTATCTTTCAAATAGAGCAGTATTTGGGGATAATGGTGCATGTATATATATGTTAACAAGTGAAATATTTAGTTATTTATTATGGCAGGACACATTTTTGTATTATTCAAACAGTAAAAATAAGGTGTCAGAAAGGCAAACAGGTTGGCACTCAAAGGCCCTGTACAGAAACAAAGCATTTTCTTTTTGAGTCATCCAAGCCTTAGGTGCTAAAATCCTGCACTAAGATGCTGAGTGATTATTTCTGAGCCACACTAGCAGGTAGGGGCACTTAACTCCAGTCAGGATATAAAAAAGATGAGGGTGTTTCTTTGAGCAAGAGGAAACTGGAAAATGGGTAGAGAGGTGCTATCAAAATGCACAGGCCTAGGGAGGAAACTTAGGCTGAGGGTGATGTTGTATTATTAATAAGCCAAACTCCAGGAAGAGAGAGAGTTAGATACTGAATCCAAGGGCTGTGTACTAAAGATAGCATAGGAACACAGCAGGTTCACAATACAATAGTCAATCATCTTACCAGATGATTCGAAAGATACACTGCCAAGCATTGTAAGAATATTCATTATTAGAGTCATTGGAGTGCTGAGTTGCATTAGTCAGGGTGAATAATAGTTTATGTTCCATCTGAGATGCAGCACAGACTTTAAGTGTAGGTACTCCAGTTCTGCAAACTAGGCATTTGTAGTTTGAGCAGTTCAGTTGGTTTACTTGAATAAAAATTACACACATCCTTAAGTCTTTGCAGGTTTGGGACCAGGGATAGTACTTTTATATTTGGCATGGTGCTGATCAGATTTGTGCTTTAAAACTCATCAACAACAACAAAACAAGTATTTAGCAAGTATTTTCTTGAAACAATGGCAGTGGAAATGCAGTCATAGAGACTTGCCTAATGTCACACAGGTTATAGCAGAAGGAGGGGAACCTGATTCCCAGTCCTTCTCCTTCAGCCAGAGACAGGACCATACCCAGAGCCCATGGCAGGCCAGGGGGGTTGTTTGCATGTTATTTATAAAGGAAGGAAGGCGATGAGCTTAAAAAAAAAAACTTATCCTGTCTAGTATCCCTTTAAGTGTGTATGCGTGTGTGAGACAGAGACTGTATTTTTTTCCCATTGATTATATTTGTGTCTCAGCCCTGTTCAATCTTGTTGACTAGATTTCAGACTGGTTATAAGGAAAAACTTCTTCATGGTTCATGTGACCAGATTCTGGAATAGACTCCCATGGGGGTGGTGCAGGCACCTACCCTGGAGATCTTCAAAAGGAGACTGGACACACACCTTGCTGGGGTTATTTGACCCCAGCAGTCTTTCCTACCCAGAGCAGGGGGGCTGGACCCAATGATCTCATGAGGTCCCTTCCAGCCCTAAACTTCTGTGAATCTGTGACTATACAGATTCATAGAAAATGAGGGATGGAAGGGGCTTCAGGAGGTCATCTAGTGCAACCCCCTGCCCAAAGCAGGCCCATCCCCAACTAGATCATCCCAGCCAAGGCTTTGTTTAGCTGGGTCTTAAAAACCTTGAAGGATGGATTTTTCCTGCCTGGTGCAGGGGGCTGGACCTGACGATCTTCTGAGGTCCCTTCCAGCCCCTTACAATCTATGAACTTCTGTTGCTAGAATGAAGAACACTAGGAATGAAGCTGTGCTGTAAACCCTTTTGTAGGAGAACTCCCCCCCACAACTCCCGTGGTATATAAGATAGACCCGAAATCCCCCTAGCGAGTCCTCCACCCCACAGCGGTGGGCTGTCCCGATCTGGAGTTGCAGCTCAGCTGAGCAAAGAGATCGCTATGAAACACGACGGACTTGCAATGCGCTAGGAAGTTCAGTCCTGGATTCGTCTGGGCCTATCACCCCGCACAGTGTAACCCCCCTGGACTTGAGTGCAGACCCCCCACCCGACCCAAGTCAGGACACAGCCCCGCAATTTCCAATCTCGGCCCCGTGCCTCTTGACACTCTTCCCTGTTTCCTCCCGAAATCCATGAAGCAGGAGATTTTTTCCAAGCTGACTCACACTTCTAATGTCAGTCCTGTCACTTCCAGCACTGCAAGCTGTTGCTTGTGCTGTTGCTGCCTTGGCACTGTCCGCCGCTCCCCTCATCCACCCCTTGTACCGGGGCGGGCTGCCGGGGGGCGGGGTCCGCAGAGAGCCCGCCCGGCCCCGCCCCCGCGCCGCTCCCCCCGGAGCAGGGACCGCAATGATTTAGAAGTTCAGGAATCCCACGTGACGTCACGGAGGGTGATGTAATGCTTCTCTAAATAGAACGTATTGTAACCTTCTCTCAGTCCAACGTGGTTCCTTCACCCAGGCTGCTGGTCCCTTCCCTTCTACACTTGTTTGGTAAGTTCCTAAAAATACTGATCTCCCTTTCTGAAACTCCCTTTACATTGCCTTTCAGCCCGCACTTCCTGAGCGCCCCAAAGTACTTGTTTGCCTGGGATTCGCTTTTCCAAGCAGCGTGTGTGAATGAACTGGGGGACGGAGGGGGGCCAGGCGGTAAAGTGTGTGTGTGTGGGAGGGCAATCTTATTTAATTCTCCTATTAATGGCTATTTCTTGCTATTCCGGCCGGGACTGCTCCGGACACTGGGGCGATCGGCTCTGAGTTTTGTTTTGAATTTCACTTTAATAATAGTTACTAAACCCATTGGAGGTCCCCCACCCCCGCTTCCCTTTCTCGCTCCTTTTCAGCAGGCTGGAGCAGTGAGATGCTTCTGCGAGGATGGCTGTTGTAGGGGAGGGCTGGGGTTCACCTCCTCCCAGGATAAAGGGGGGACTGTTACGGATCGAGGTGTGCGGTTCGGGTTGGGGTTTGGGGGGCGGCAGAAAAAGTTGTACCTAGAAGTGCAGGCAGCAGCTGGCGAGCGAGAGGGGGAGCTGGGAGTCTCCAGCCTCACACGCCGAGCACAAAGTTGGGAAGTTTTTGCAACTCGGCGTGTGTCTTTTTAAAAGCCAGAGCTGGAGACAGTCATTAGTATGCGGCCGGGAGCGTGTGAGTGCGCCCGTGTGTGTCCGAACCCCACGGAGATGTGACTGCCTCTGCCACAGCCACTCGCGTAGGTGAATGCTGCTCCCAATAAGTTGCAGGTCTCTTGCTTGAGCTTTCTCCGGATCGGGGTTTTTCTTTTCTCCCCCCCCCCTTCCCCCCTTACTAGCACAGAGAACTGGAAAGCTCTCTCCCCCCCCTTCCATTTCTTTCTGGCATCGCATCTTTCTTGCTCTTGCTGCTGAAATGACAGCTCTTTGGCTGGGGATCTGGTCTGCAAGCCCCTCTTTCGCGTTCCTCCTACATGGTCTTGATTTCAAGCGCTGGAACTTGTCTTCAGCGCAGAAAAGTTTTACAAGAGGCTCCGTGGGGTGGGGGGGTGGGGGTGGGGGGGGAGCCAGTGGCAGAGCCACTCAGAGCACAGCACTGTCCAGTGGTTCTTCCCTGCCTCCCACCACCAAGCTCAGTTCAGTGGGGCTGCGGAGCCTCCCACCGCCAGGCTGTGCTCACCAGGGCTGCGCTCTGAGCAGCTCCGCCACTGGCTCTCCTGCTGCCTCCCACTGCTGAGCTGAGCTCCATGGGGCTGGTGGAGCCACTCAGAGTGCAGCCCAGCAGCAGGAGTTGGGGAGAGCCAGGGCTGTGCTCCGAGTGGCTCCATCAGCTCTATGGAGCTCAACCTGCCCTCCCAGTGCTGATGGACTCCTCCCAGGGGTATGAGCCCCCACATCTGCATGTGGGATGACAGGAGGTTGCCGCTGCTGCCTGGGGCCAGCAGCAGCAGCCTCCTGTCATCCTGTGTGCAGATCCAGGGGCCTGCACCCCCAGGAGGAGTCCAGCACAGCACCACAGCACTCCCGGGGGTGCAGGCCCCCAGATCTGCGTGCAGGATGATAGGAGGCTGTCACTGCCAGCAAGTGACACACCATTTGCTTTTAGCAATTTATGGTGCAGTTTACCAGAAACCCCTCCACCTATCTGCTTGAAGCTTGGTAGGCTTCATGTCCTCAGAAGGGGCTACCATCCCTGCAATTTTCATCTGAATCAGGCAAGAAATGACAAAGTTATAGGCATTCTCACGATGCCCTACTATAGCATATGGGTGAAATGTCGAAATGCATCAAAACAGCAAAACAGTTTCAACGAAATGAAACAGAACAACAAAATGAAACACTGTCCCTTCAAAACAGCAGAACAGAAGTTGAAACAAAACAGTGCTGTTTTGCACAGCCTTGTCTGCTGCAGCCAGAGCTCTCTAGCTGCAGTGGTGGGGCTTTGTCTTTGGTGCTTCTCTAGCTGCAGAGCTCTGGCAGAGGTGACTCACTCTCCCACTCTCGAGTCTCTCAGTCACTCACTGTGTCCCTGCAGGGTCTCTCTCTCTCTCTTACGCTCCATGTCCCTGCAGAGGTCTAGTCTGGGTATGTGGAGGCAGTGTTGGGTGCTAGCACATAACGTTTTCCTACCTGCTCAGGGTGGCAAGGCTTAAACTTCACATCTCCAGGGTTTGCTGTGTCTTAGACTTCAGCAGCAGAGTGCAGCCCGTGTCACAGACCATCTCCTTGTAGGGAGTGCAAGCAGTGCATGCTGGGATTCTGGAAGAGCATAGCAGCTGCTATCAGACAGGTAAGTGTACAAGTGTTTGTTCCTCCTAAATAAGCATTACCAGAGGCTACTTCTACCTCATTGAAGCTGGTAGAAGTTTCTACAGCCAGCCCCCCCCCCCCCCCCCCTTTTTTTTCTCTCTCTTTTTTTTTCTTGCGATCCTGCACAACAAACTGATCCAATCTCCACCCCCTCTTCCCTTCCCCGGCTTCAATCCCCACATGGTGTCTATTGTTAAGGACTCGGGCTGGAGTGGGCTGTGTGTATGTTTCGTTGTTAGGTGTCTGCATCGCTATGTTTGGTTGTCTTCCCCCCCTCCCTCTGACATATCTCTGGGAATAAGGCTGGATCCTGGGCCATTACGTCATTCTGCAGACTAGTAAGTGTTTGATTAACAGCCTCAGATACTGTAGGGTTCAGGGGGTTAGAAATGCTGACAAAGCAACTCTCTCTTTTACAACCTCGCCAAACACATCTCTAACTACGTCCCCTTCCCCAGCTTAATGCCATTTCCTCTACCCCTTCTCTCTTTTTAGGGTCCTTTCTCCCTCCCTGTAGCTAAGTTTCCTAGAATGATGAGAGCTGCTGGAGTGTAAAGAGGGCTAGTTGCTAAACTCTGCCTTCACTTATTATTTATGTCGAGGCATGATGAGTGAGTCTTCATCTCCAGGGTTTAATACGTGCTTTACAATCGGAAAGAGAGAACTGGTTCAAAGTAATCAAGTCCATGAATATCCATGTGTGTGGGTCTTAACATGGAACATGCTCCTAAGAGCACTCTTGCTTCAAATAGCATGACCAGATGATTTCTGTATCTTCCAGGTGAGAAATAATACACAGATAAATTAATCTCGAGCTTGAACCAAAGGTAATATATACTGAGGAGCACCTTTCTTGGGCTGTCCCTGAGATGGCACAGTTCAAAGACAACTCTGGTAGTGATCTAGTGAATTGCACCAGAGTTTCCTTGTCTGGCCATTTGAACAATGTCCAGTGTGCCAAATAGCTGTAGAGGAAAAACTTTCTTCTAAGAAACTGTCACGCTGAAATAATCCAGAAACCAGACTGTGAAGAAAATTAATGTATAAAAGAATTTAAGAGCTGTAGGGTGAGAACCAAATGAAAAAGAAAGAAAAAAGTATCTTGCAGCCCACTTTGTGGGAATTTTGCTGAAGTAGATGCATAAATACACACTGGTAGCATACTGCTTTCTTTCGTTCTTTGGTAGAAAAATGTACATTATTAAAAGCCCCCTTTGGTATTTTGTTACTTTCATATTTTGGATAAAGTTGTCAGCATTAAGAAGTTAAAAATATTTAGAAAAAATTCTTAAAGTTCTTATTTGTGACTCCTTAATCCTAATGGGAGCTGTGCAGGTCGCAAAGCACTAGAGAAAAGTGTGATTAATGATCAGTGATTAGTGATAAGTGATTAGTGGTTTTATTCAAACTGTTACCTCTGACCAGAAGCACGCATCAGAGGATTAACAGGCTCTTTAGATAAATGCTCATTAGTGGAAGGGGGAAAGCAAAGATAATAGGCATGCACACAGGGACAACTTTGGAGGAAAATCATTCCTGTCTCTGGAATAATAAGCATTATTAGCAGAAAGGCTCTTTAGTTTAAAAGTTGCTTTTATCTTGTAAATCAAAGTTAGATGTAGACGTTCACTGTGCTATTATAACCTAAATTTTCCCATATCCACTGGATGTGGATTATCCCAGTAGTGATATTTATTTAAACAAACAATTGAATCTTTAAAGAAACTGAACATTCACAAAATCTAAAGCCTTGTATCTTAAGGTATCCACTTCTTACATAGCAAGTGAAGCTTGCTGACAGCTAACTAGATGGCGCAGTACTGTTCTTTGTGAATATATAGTTCTGGATTATGAACTGAGCAAGTAGCTGCTTGCTAGATGTCCTTCAACACTTACAACAAAGTTGATTCTGTGCTAGGTTGCAGGCTAGACAGTCCTACAAGTTTTTAGTCACATTTTCCATGTCAGTTAATCTAGTGAGTTAAAGGCTACTGGAAAATGTACTCTCATTACTAAAAGAAACGGTTACAGAAAGAAAGTGAGAGAACGGCAAATAGTACAACCTGGGATTTAGCTCTTTACTTCGCTGTTCTAGTTATCCTAAAACACCAGACCTTGTTTCTATAGAGTTTAGTAAAATAAGATTCTGATGGCCTGAAATACAAAAAATATAGAAATACACAGCGAAGCTTTCTACTCTTAGCTGCCACTAGCAAAGGGAGTGTTAAAATTAGATACATTTGAAAGAAAGTTGACGTGATGGTTGAACAAAACAGCTCCGACCTGATTTTATTGAACAGATAATGGTAAGAGGTCTTTTATTTTTTTCTTTTGACTGACTAAGGATCTCTAATTATTATATTTTTATCATGTTTGGATTGTATAGCATTACTATCTATTGCTGTCCATAATATTTGTCATGTTTCTACTGTCTTGATTACATAAGAATGATCTACAGTTGTCTGAAGATGTCCAGAACACAGTACTTTCAAAACCTAAATGTTTTGTATATACATTTACAGCGGAATAAAACCTTATTGCACTAACAAAACTGAAATTGTTTCCTGTTTTTGTAATTTTAATTGGGATAGTCTTATGAGGAGTCAGATAACATTTTATGGAAAGACGAGATTTCTTTATATTCCTGACTTAAGTTTAGAAGGACAGTAAGCTCTATCTTGGACTACTTAATATTGGATACTCCTATTCTAGAAT